AACGTGATTCAGTGTCCCTGGGTCCCTGGCTCAGCCCTGCTCCCCCTACATCACTGTCTTCACAGCGTTCAGTGGCCGGTGGTACTTTTTTTTTTTTTTAGTCCTCCGTCCTCTGACCACCCACTAACTAGAGAATCAGAGGCAGCAGAATCTAAAGACGTGAACCGCGGCTGTGGTCGAGCTAAAGGTTTTGAAGGTGATTATGTTTTAACGTAAAGTCTCGAAGAAATGAAGACAAAGTCAACGCTGTCATCAAGTCAGGCCGACAGTGAAGAGGCTCTGAAGTGGACTGGGACGACGCTGAGCCTTTAATTAAATCAGACTCAGTCTGATGTGGTGAGCGGCTGATGCCCCCCCCCACCCCTCCACCCCTCTGGAGCCCAGGAGAAAGGGCTGACACTTCACATCCACGTCGGTCTCCTCTTCACTTCCTGTAGCGCTCATTCTCACAACATTTGTTTGGTCGCCATGGTAACCAGGAACACATCATGTTAGCCGTTAGTGCTAAATACGGACTCTGGCTCGGATATTTTAATACGGCCCTGTATTTACGTGTTCTCCGAGGTCGTCTCTGTTACAGTTAGAGTCTGTTTACAGACGGGTGTGGTCAAGGTGATCGTGATTAATCATGATTCAAATCAAATGTGACCTGCAGTTGTTGCTTCTTCTTCTTTTTTTCTCTCCTTTTTTAATAGATCTGCTGGAGAAGTCCCGTGTGGTGAAACAGCCGAGGGGGGAGAGAAACTTCCACATCTTCTATCAGCTCCTGTCTGGAGCCTCTGACGACACGCTCAGTGAGTTCAGAAACACTGAAAAAAAAAAAAAACAGACTTTATTTTCTCTGTAACTGTTTCTCTAATGTTTTACACTGAAAAAGTACCACGGTTTGATCCGACCAAACTTCTGTGTGTGTGAAAACTGTGGTCACCCCTGATGTTGACGTTTAATTTAACTTCTGTTTTTTTTAATATTGTGCAATATATGTGTATATATATATGTTTGTGGAATAGATAACTTTAGTGATCATTAAGAAAATGAACAGGAAAAAGATTTAAATCTTGATCTTTTCCTGGTAGAGTTGAAGATAAAACGATCATAAAATGTGAACAGTGTTGAATCATAATTAGTCAGAACGACGACATCTGGTTATAAATACCTACAGCAGGCAGTGAGTCATACTCTGGTCAGCTCTGTAGGAGGAGCCTGTGAGCAGCTTTGTTAGGCATAGTGACATGGTTCTCAAATTAGGGGTCGGGGTCCCTAGCAAGCACAAAGTTTTGCATGGGGGAGGCCAAAGCAGGGCAAATGAATTTAAATTTGTTTGTTTTTTTGGCCACACTTTTTTTAACCTGGGCTTGACAAGTTTTATAAAATATACAAATATTTTTTTTTAAACATTTGAGGACCTTGCAATTCCTCATCGTTGATGTTGAAGTTCTTCTACAGCACACGAAAGCCGATGAAGTTAATCAAGATTTTTTTCTTTTTTTAAATTTCATATAATTACTTTTTTTTTCTCACAGTAGCCCGGAGCAGCTAGCATGCTAATCCTGTGGTGTCGGACCTTTGAGCTGTTTCCAGCTGTGCAAACACATGGTTTTGTCATTAATGATCCATTCTGCCTGCTGACAAAACATCACAAAGAAGAAACCCGCTCCCTGTGGACGCAGGAGGAGGACCATACACTGGTCACTGATTGATTTAGCTGTACTTAATGCAAAAGCTAATGAAATCTGACACGAGCGTCCACTAGGGGGAATAGATTTCTCTGCTGTGAGATAGGACGGCCTTTAAGTGGGCGCTCGGAGCAGGGGAACAATGTCCACGGCAGCGGCAATCACTCAGTGTGTGCGTGCCGCGGGTTGAGCAACAAAGCCGTACTGGTTGGACACATTTGTTTGCACATGCACTTTGTTTGACTGTGGTGTCGCTCATTTTCATCTGCTGGGATTAAACGTCGCCTCTCTGAAGCGTGACATCATTCTTAATGTCCGTTGGTGCAGCTTTTCGTCCATGTTTTAAATATTCACCAGTAGTGTTTTTGTTTTTCTGTCACAGAGAAACTGAAGCTTCACCGCGACGTCAGCAAATACAACTACCTGAGTCTGGACTCGGCCGCAGTCAACGGGCTGGACGATGCTGCCAACTTCAGAACAGTCCGGGTGAGTGGCACCGTGTGGCTCAGCGTCCACATTTAGACCCCAACCCCAGCAGACGTATAAATGATAAAACCCCAAAAGCCACCAGTCAGTGGAAGAAATGATGTCACGTCCCTTTAAACACAAGTTTAATGACAGACCTTTTAAATCACAAACAGACTCTGAAAACAAAAAAAAACAAAAAAATCACGTCTTGGGTTCAGCTCACATTTCATCTGTTGAACCAAACCACGGATGAACGTCAGAGGTGACGGCCGTCGACAGGTGAATCACAAAGATGAGTGCGGGTGGATGAAAAAAAATTAGACGTTAGCATATAAGCTACATGGAGTATATATTACTGCATATTTTATATATAAAGCAACTTTGCAGTACTAGTGAATGGACTTGTTCTGATCTCTTGGTCGATGTGATCACGGTGTCATTGTCAGTTGGGTTTTCTTTTTTTTTTCTTCGTTGTGAAACCAAGTGAATAATGATAATGGTGATCACGGTGTCACTAGTCAGTTGGTTTTTTCTTTTTTTCTTCGTTGTGAAACCAAGTGACCTTTGACCTGGGAAGTAAACCCAAACCTTTGCCTACAGGATTAACAGTCTTTAAAGTTCCCAAAACAACGGACGTCTTCGACAATGGATCCGTTTGTTAGCGGCGCAGTAGCAGCTGTGGAGAAGTACCTCAGGCAGCTGTATCCTTTCATTTTACTGCAGTACTACTACATCAGCTTTGACACGGTGACACAGGATGTTGTGTCTGAGCGGGACTTTTCCTACTGGTCTCTATTGTTGCTGCTGCTGCTGCTGCTGCTCCACCACATTCTACCGCGCTCCCCTCACTTCCTGCTTCCCATCAGCCCTCGCTCCGACTTTTCGCTGAATTCCCCTACAGCTGCGCCGGAACACTGAAGGCATCTGCTGCGATATAAACGACTTCCACTGTGGCACAGAAGGGGGCAGTAGACAAAGAAAATAGTCAATGACATAACCAGTTTATTTCTTTAGTTTGGCTTCGACTTCCACCATGAACATTTCCTTAACAATAAACGAAATGTTTACGATATTGGTTTGAGTTTTTGGAACTCATTTGTTTCATCACTTTAATCATAACAACTCAAACTCCAGAAATGATGTTTCTCTCTCTCTCCCTCTCCCCTCCCCCAGAATGCCATGGAGATCCTGGGTTTCATGGCGGACGAGGTGCAGTCGGTGCTGGAGTTGGTGGCCGCCGTACTCAAACTGGGAAACATCGAGTTCAAGCCCGAGTCCCGCTGTAACGGCTCAGATGAAAGTCGCATCAAGGACAAAAACGGTGAGAGAACAATGAAGAGTCTGTGTCTAATGAAACAAACACATGGACATGAACATGTAAATGAAGTGTCGTGTTGACGTGTCACGTTAATCCACACACACACACACACACACACACACTTCAGACTTCCTGGTCAGAAATCGTTGTCATCGTTTCCCGTCATCTGTAATTCCGTTTGCATATTTCCATGGCTGTGACTTTTCCTGTTCATAAATCTGTGAACCGTGTCTGATTTCCTGAAGCAGCTCAGATGAAGGGACTGTTGACTGAGTTCTTTCTCTTCACGTTGACACGGGTCACAGTCTGGTCTCAGACTGAAACCCTTGATCATGTTAACACCTTTTCACTCCAAACATTTTGAAACGACCGCTGTCTTAGAACTTTCTGACTTGATTTTATTTTTATTCATTCCAGTTTCCATGAAGATTCTTCATGTTTTACACCTGGACCTTTTATTTATTTCATGGATATTTATTTGTTTTCTTTCAGACTTGAAGGAGATGTGTGAGCTGCTGGGCATCGAACAGTCGGTGCTGGAGAGGGCGTTCAGTTACCGCACGGTGGAGGCAAAGCTGGAGAAGGTCTCCACCACCCTGAACGTGGCCCAGGTCAGAGGGCAGAGGGGCAGTAGTTCAGACCAGGGGTTAATGAATAAGTAAATAAAATAAAAATATATTTCCTGACCTGAAATGCTTTGTTTGGTTGTCAGGCCTACTACGCCCGCGACGCTCTGGCCAAAAACCTCTACAGCCGCCTCTTCAGTTGGCTGGTGACACGGATCAACGAGAGCATTAAAGTGAGTGGATTTTTAAATTCTCTTTTTTTTTTTTTCAACTTTCTTAATCTTCCTCAGAAACATAGAAACTCTTTAGTCCCCGTCCGTAACTCGACCTGTCAGCTCACGTCAGAACCCAGCAGGAGTGACACCCGCTA